AGTCCAACTGTCAACATGAAGAGGATTTGCGACATGCTGTCTGGAGGACCCAACTCACCCAGCCTCATCTACCACCCACATTCATCTGTGACTCCTGTTCATGACTCTTCAGCAGTAGGCTGGTCCTTCATAGCTATCTCTGTCACTGCCATCAGAGAAAGGGAATAAAGAGAGCGGGACTAATCTCGATGCTTGAATGTGAGTGGGAGCCGAAATCTGACCAAATGAACAAAAGATCAGTTGACTTTTTTTTTTTTTTTTTTTTTTTTTAATGTCTTGACTTGGACTGATAACTTTTCACTACCAACTTGTATTTGTCTAATTTCACTTTTTATTTTAGCATTTCTTTCTATTGATATAGTTTTCCTCCTTTTCTGGATTAACAATCTGCAAATATATGCACTCTTAACTGAAAGGGGTTAACTATTAGTTTTAAATTCAACTGAGAGCAATGACCTGCTTATTCATCATCTAATCTGGCCCAATATTACAAACCTCCACTAATTCACTGAAAAAACACCATACCATGATGAAAAAAGGTGCCAAAGTTAATAAAACAAAGTTTTCTTGTTAAAATGTTAGTTTTTATTAAGAGGAAAGATCAAAGTATTTTTTTATTATTTTTTTAATAAATTTTTTAATCTTTTCTATCATATTAGAAATTTTGGTAAAATTTTTTTTTGCATCAGCAAAAATTTAGTATAGGAAATTTTGGCCTCTTTTTTGCTGTAAAAAACACATTGATTTGGAAATTCTCACAAAAAATCAAATAATTGTCAGATTTTAATTAAATTTTCAGGACTTATTTACAAATGAATTTAATTATTTCTAAAAATTTAAAAAAATATTTTTTTAGTAAATCTTGATAAAATTTTTTTTTTCTTTTTGACATCTGTTACCCCTCCAACACTTAATTTTATGAAAATTTGAGAAATTAAAATTCCACCTGCTCCATATTTATATTGGTTAAAAGCACGATTTAAAAATTCTTGGAAACAACTTTTATTCATTTATGAAGCTTATCTACTTTGAATCCTGACATAACAGATGAAAACAACGTTCTTTTATGATGGGAGTAATCAAATAAAATGAAGTTTTAAAAAGTAATCCTGTAGTTTTTGTTTCAAAAGTAGAAAAGAATTAATCTAAATACTTCCAGGCCATATAGAAGAAATGAGTGTATTTGAAGACCTGTAAATGATAGTTTTAGTTTGTATTAATGTTCATGTCTCAAGAATGTGCTCTTAAATATACTTAATTGCTTTAAGTGGTATGCCATTTAGCTTCTTGTGCAATAGACAGTGTTCAAGTAAAAATGGTTCTTCATGAATATTACAGTCAGTGTTGTTTTGGAGATAAACAAATAAAGCCAAAATATTTGGGGACAAAAAATCTCTTGAATGAAATAAGCAGAAATATTTAGTTCTGCTAATTTTGGTTTTGTTTACTGGTCGGACAAACTTAAGTCTGAAAATTTATTTGTCAACTTACAATTATATATACTTGTTTCTAAAAAATAATCTGATTTAACAAATTTTTTTCTTTTTACTGAGATTTATTTTTAGATAAAATGCTTTTGATATTGATATTAACTAATAAGCAAATCCTATTTGTAAAATCTAGAAGAGTTAAGGCAGATTAGCTTTTCCTGGCCTGCAATGCTGGCCCAGGATTACTTTTCAATCCTAATCCCGAGTAATAATATCCATTGCAGAAAAGAATGCACTAGAATAATTCTATTGCTTTTTTTTTTCCCAGGTAAAACTACTTGGCATCAGTTAATATATATACATATATATACATACATACATACATATATATATATATATATATATATATATATATATATATATATATATATATATATATAGTTTTATTTGAGCCTTCAGCCTTGGTACATTTTTTATTTGAATGCACATATTTTTATCTGGAAATTAAAATGGCACAAAGTTATTTTTTTTTCCCTGAGAGCATTAATTTGAAATACTCAGGATTAAAACCGTTCTATATTTTGCTGACCTAATCATTAAACACTTTTATTTGTTCTATCAGCTTCTATAAATACAGATTTACTTTGATTACTGATTTGACTTTAAATCTTCCTGCTCCTTTTAGTTTAAGAAATGTTTTTGTTAGAATTAGTCTTATTTTACATATTTCCTTGAATCTGTTTTCCATTTTTTTGTTTTTTTATTATGAGGTATCTCTTATTCTTAAATAAAAAAACTTTGTAATATGTACATGTGTTATTTTTTTTTTTCTTAATTATATAGGCATTAAGCTTAGATTATGTCTAGCATAAAAAGTTGGTATTCTTGCTAATGGCTTCCAAGTTAAAGTACATTATTATTAATTTGAGTGGGAAAATTTTTCATTTTGGTGGGGGATATCCTTATTTCAGCCTCCCTTATTAAAAATTTCCTCCCACTATTAGCATTCATAGGCAAAGCATTTCATTACTGAAAATTATTGAAGACAAAATCCAACCACCCTGTTTATTTAAAAACCAAGTTCACTTCAGTGTGTACACACACAAAATATTAAATCTTGAAATGGGTGTTGGATTTATCAGTCTCTGCCTTTTATATCACAGGTCAAATTCAAAACTTTTTGGGCTTATGGCCAAATCACATTGAAACACCAGTTTTCATATGATCACCTTTAGTTAAGCAACAACAAGCCTGGCCAGTACCTAGATAGGTGACTGCTTGGTAGTACCAGGTACTGTAAACTTTCATGTGTGGGTGTTACAATGGATACAGCTCTGAAATGGAAATTGGACAGCCAATTTCCAATTCCAGTGTGGTTTGTTATATTCGCCTATGCACAAATACTCCTGGGGGGGAGATATAAATCCACATCTTCTCCTCTCCAAGCTATGGGTTAATTTAGTAGGACTTGTATTGATAAATTATTATTATCTCCCCACCCCCAAATTGTTACAGTTTAAAAATATTTCCTGGCTTTAAATAACCTGCAAAAGGTTGATAAGCTGTAAAAATACAAAAAAAAAAAATCCATCAAAACTTTTTAATAGTTGAAACTATCAGTTTCTTAAAATGAAATGAGAATGTTTAGAATTTTGTTTTTAGTATTTTTCATTGCAGAGATTCTTTTACTCCCAAACTTCATTAGTTTATCCCATGATAATGTTGACTAATATTATTGCAGAACTGTTTTTTACTTGGACACTGTCTATTGTACCGTAGGCCAAGATGCTAAATGGCAACAATTTACAGGAAATCCTTTAATTATCTTAAGAGTAAGTTAAGCCAAGAGCTGGAGACATTAGTATTGATCCAAAAAAAAGCTGACACTTACAAATCTTCAAAGGCTCTCATTTGTTTTTTGTTAGTGCAAGTGGGTCGATTCCATAACACGAACACAGAGAGAGAGACTTCAGAACTGGTTTGCTGCTAAGGAAAGAAGAGTAACTCACTCCAACACTGTAAATTGTGAAACATACGGTTCACCATAGGTCATAGCCACTTATACGCTTCTCTCAATGGCTGCTGGCAGTAAACTGTTTGCCTTTTCTAGTGAGTCCTTAAATAGATGTCAAACTTGTGAATATTTACACTATTGACATTGTTCAGATTGTTGTCCTTAGCACGATGATTTGGCCATTGTACGCTCCAGTTTTCTTCAGGTGATTATCGAACTGTAGGTAGATTATTATAGTTCCACATACCATACCTCTTCTAGATATCTCAGTTTCAGTTATTTCCCTGTTAGTAACTCAACTCTCCACGTTTTTTTTTGTTCACCACTGATGTGGCCAGGTACTGATCTCACAACTCTTTGGGTCAAGTCACTGGATTACTTCAACCAATAATTTTCACCTCGTGGTTAGGATTGCATCCTCAAGGTCAGCCCACTGATGCACCTGGCTTCTCTGATTCTCCTCTGGTATAAGACTGAGTGCAAAGTCTATTTTGGTTATCTCTTAGAGTGAGCCCAGTACATATTGGGTTCATTGCAGATCAACTTCTCTTAGAATAAATTTTTTTTATTGCTGTTAAATTTGATTTAGACTGTCTGATAATTCCTGGTTAGAATTACATGCTGCACTAGTATCCTATTAGAATTGTGCTTGTTCCTCCTTTCACAAGATCATTATGTCTTGCCAATACCTTGTGGAAAGACAAGACATATCAGAGATGCTACTTGGTTTCAGTGAAAGAAAGACAGAAGCGTTTAACGTCTCCTTCATAATGCTACTTGGTTTCAGTCAGAAAGTGAAAGAAAGAAGGGAAAGTAAGTGTTTAACGTCAGTTTCAGTTTAATGGAAAACGTTGTCAATTTCAAATCTTTTCATTTGTACCCCCTTACTTCTTAAAATTTTCTGCCCTTTTCTGAGTTGGTGTAGAAAAGAGTTGAAAGTTTTGTGGGTCATCAGGAACCTCTTCTCGCCACTGTCAAATGGACAAAAATGGTGTGGTTTAGACACGTTACAAGGCATGACAGCCTGTGCAAGACTTATCATGCAAAGCATTGTTGAAGATGGATGTAGGAGAGGATGCCAATGCAAAAACTGGTTGGACAATGTCTAACAATGGACAGGTATGACTATAACAGAATTGCTGATGGCTGTTGTTGATAGAGTATTGTGGAGGAAATTCATTATGGCTTCTGCATTAAAATCCCCACTACAATTACAAAAGTCAAGGTGGTGATGATGATGACAACTTCTTAAAATAACGACCAGTATTCATATTTATGATTGTTATTGCAATATTTTGTTAAAGTTGCTAAATTCAAATATTTAAGAATGTGATAGGGAATTTCTACAGATATTTTATTGTCATAGAACTTCAATTATTAAATTGAAAATTAAGATTCATCAGAAATTTAAAATAAGAAAACTGAAATTTTCACAGGTTAAAACAAGTAAATATTATTTTCTAATTAGCAGTTAAATTTAATGCTTTGAAGATGTGCAAATTACTCTATTTTGTAAAACATTTAAATTATTTAAACTTTTTTTTCTTTCTTTTTAGTTATTACAGGATCAACAGATGGCATTGGAAAAGCATATGCTGAAGAGGTAAGTAGATTTAGTTTCTTATTAAAGAAAAAAAGAAAGAACATTTTCTGTTTCTTTTTTTTTTTACCTTGTTTTACTGAGTGGCTTTATTCACAAGTTTTTGCTAGGGTACTTAAGTATTCACTGAGGATTTAACCCTTCTTAATTGATCAAGAACTTCTGTGTGCCATATCACTTCAGGACATTTGATAATCATGCTTCTCTACAACTTTCTATCCTTCTGGGATCTTCTTAGCAATATTTGTATTTTTAATATCCTAACTACTCTTTATGCTTCCTTTCATTTACACAAGCTCTTTAGGTAGGTTATTTGTTGTTTTGTTCTGCCTTTATTATGCTCTGTGAGTGTCAAATTTTCCAAGCCTCTTTTCCTCATGTCACAGAAATTTCAGCTGTCTCTTTTTTTATTCTAAGTGACTTTTTTGTTTCCATTTTCCTTAAAACTTCCCCATTGCTTACACACTCCATCTCAGCAATCCCAACATCCTTCTGTAGAACCACATTTCTGTTGCTTCTGGTTTTCTCTGCATTTGTGAGGAAATCTGTCCAGCAGTTGCTGCTATATAGGTGGATTGGTATTTCATAGCAGTCCAGCACTCTTTTCATTGTTTCAAAAGAAATTTTCATTTCTTTGTACTTTGTTTAGTTTTCAGAAAGCATATTTTACTATTACAATACACCTTTGGATATAGGTGTTATGTTTTTTGTCATTTGTTAAAACACTTACCAGACTTATATTTCAGTATTTGCTTGATTTTGACATCATCAATTTGTAGTTTGCATTTTGGGTATTTCTCTTGTTGCCCGCCAGACATTTTGTTTTATAACAAATAATGGTTAGTCTTTTCTTTGCATTTTCCTTTGCTACCTTATATAGAATGTCTTGTAATTTTTTTTCTGTGTTTGCCATCAACACAGTGTCATCTGTGTATCTTATTTTGTTTGTCATTGTGTCTATCAGTAATTTTAACCCACTGTACCAAAGAAAGCACTGTTTTATGAAGTTTATCTGAAACAGTCATGCATCATTTTTTTTTTCTCTACCAACCCGCTTCAACTTTAATACTTGCGTTTTCTGTTGTTAAGTTATCCAGATGTTGCCTTTACATTGGCATTATACCTTAAAGTAAGTTCCTCCCTTTTTAAATATAGTAACTCACAGAAATCAGACCCCTAAAAACATGTTATGGGAAATTAAATTAGAGGAGTGGTTAACAGACACTTCTCCAAAAACATTGTTGGTTGGTGTGTCTTTCACTGGATACAATATACTCTGGCTTGATTTTTGATCCTTTCACCCCAAGCAAGTCAACAAAGCCACTAACATGCAAAGAGTTACTGAGTGTGAAAGAACATAAGAAAAAATTATTAAGGAGAGGGAACAATAAAAGAACAAAAATGAAGAAGGCAGAAGATAACAATTGACATTGAATTTAAATTTTTGAAGAACAAAATTGACCTGAAAGCAAGAAACTGAAAGAGTGTTCCACAAGCAAGTACAAGAAAAGGAACTCTTAGCATAGAATTGACGGTTATATCTAGCCGTTTTAACTGTAAAATGATGAGACTTTGCTGCTAATCTATTACTGTGCTTAAATTCATAAAGCCTAGGTACCATAGAGGAAAGTTTCTTTAAACAATTATTATGAAAATATTTATAGAAAAGGCACAGGGAAGCTATGTTACGGTGGTGAGAAAGTGATTGAAGCCAAGATGCCAGAGCAGTACCAATAACCTTGCAGATTTTTCTTTGTACTTTAACAATACTGAGCTTAGTACGTAATTATAGATACCATTGTGACGATGTTTGTAACAATGTTTCTGTTCATCTGTCATTCACTGCACCTGTGGTGATATTCAGTATCGGCTGTATCTGCATATACCACCAACTTCGCTATGCTCACAGATTTATCACTTGGCCATGATTGTATTCAACAAAAAATAATGAAAATTGATTTTCAAGACTCTCTGATTGGGAAATAGCAACAATACAAATTCTCATGTAGCAGTTCAGTCGAAGAAAAGATAGCTGGCTATCTCCTTAACTACCACTGGTCCCTTCCTAACCGGTTGCTCGGCAGCTACTCATTCGCTGGTCACCTACCTATTTCTCTCACTGCTGGACCCCTGTCTCCTGCTTATATGGATAATGGCTGGGGTCCCAGCCCCCTATCCATCCATTTGTATTCCAGAAGTTGGAGACAAGCCATTCAGCTTTTTGGGTGGTCAACTTCTTCAAAGGACTACTTTTATTATTATTATCTAAAATCATTAACAACAATTGTTTTCCAATTCAAAGGCAGCTGTAGACATAAATCCCCAAAACACTGACACTTGAGTTTACTCAAAGATGGGCTGGAGACAAAATTCCTTCCAAACTTGGATAAGTAGACTTAAAAGAAATTTATTTACTTCTCTTCTAAAGATGTGTGAAAAATCATATTGTTACACTATATTTGAACTGTTTGTACCATTTCAGTTCTTTGTGTGTAATTATAAACATCCAAATTCACTTAGTAGACTCCATGTGTATCATTTCCTTATCTGATGAATGTATTTGTACTTTTGATAAACTTACAATGTGAGTATTTTGTAATAAACTGGAAAATATAACTGTTTGCACTGTTCAGACTGTTGTCCTCATTTATATTGCCATATTCACAGTGTTTCGGTCTTCTTCAGGGGATATTTCTTGGAAATTTGAACTAAACCCTTTATTTTGTCTACAGAGGTAGATTGTTCTAATTCCATGTGCCATCTGGTTGATTGATCCAAAAGTAACTTGACCCAAAGAGTTGTTAGTTCAATACCTGGCTCTAGCAGAGTGAAAAAAATCTCGGAGTGTCAAGTTATTAAAGAAAATTAAGTGACATGGTACTTGGAATTAGAACAATCTACCCCCATGGACAAAATATCACCTGAAGAAGGCTGGACTGTATAGTTGCCGGAAACATTGTGACTATGGCAGTAAAGATGAGGACAACTGTCCGAACGATGTAAATAGTGAAAATAGTTACAGTACCTCATCTCAGATATATAAACAGATGGAAAATATGAGTTTGAAGCTGATCTTTTTTTTTTTTTTTTTTTTTTTTTAGACTTTCTCTTTCTTTAAATATAAAATAATAAACGGATTTATTTCAACCTAATTTCATAATTCAAATATTTTGTTTTTTATAATAAGTAAGATATAAAATTAGTTGAAAGCAGGCATTTGATGATTGTAAGTTCCTCTGTGCTGCAAACATTTTAATAATGTTGAGAATGAAGATCATCTTTTTTCAATTGCTCTTTCTTAATTATTTTGTGATTATTATAAATTCTCTTTTGACATGAAAATATAAAAAAGATTTTTCATTATGACATTGTAACAGCGGCCTTAACTGTTAACAAGAAAATTTGTAGGAGACTGAGAGTTCATTTGGGATAAAATGCAAAGTAGAAGTCGAGATAGATGCGTGGATAAAATCGACACGCATATGTAGTCGACTAAGGTAGATTTGTGGGAGGAAATTGACATGCATTTGGAGTAGCTGAGTTAGTCTCTGCTGCTGCTGTTGTTGGTTTTGTCATTGACTGAAGGTATTGCTGCTGATGGAAGTGCCTAGGTAACATTGCTGATGGCCTGTTGCAGGAGTCTGGTTCTGCTGGTTGGATCTGCCTCTTTGGGCAAAATTGGCTTTATAGTGAGTTAGTATGGCAAACCATCTGAGCCATTTCTGGTTGGTCAGAAAAGATGTTTTATGACCCTTATATTTTGGGACAGCATTTCGGAAGTGGGTTCATGGAACCAGACAAAATTAAGGTCAGTTTTTGTCATATGAGCTGTGCATGTTGAAGTGAGCACTTCCATTTGAGTTAAAGCACTGGAGTTCCGACATGGTGTGGCATCATCTAAAAATAAGACATTTTATTTTTGCGATGTTATATTGAGAATCTTTTCCCTTATAAAAACTTGTGACAAATAATAAAACCAGAAATAATTTTATGGTGAAATATAAATTGATGGCCTCCAAAAATCCTTCAAGAAAAAAAAAAAAAGAAACTTCTGTCAGAAAAAAAAACAAAAAAACATCTCATATGGTGGACATTGTTCTCAACATGGCTCTGACAATACAACATTTTTATAAAATTACATAAAAATAAAAAGATGAATTTCTAAATGTAATGACTGTTAATTTTGAGTGAAATTATGATTACATAGGCTGATTTGAAAAAAAATTTTTAATGATAAAATATTTGAAAAATGATTTTAAAGAGCAGCTATTGAATAGTATGCCTTTTATTGCTTCTAGGCTTCACGTTCGGCTAGAAGGAAAAATAAAAAAAAAATAGATTTTGAGATTAAATAACACAGCAAAGGTTGATATGTTATAATATTATACAGGGGGTGCAAAAGTAGGTATACAGTAATGAAAAACAAAATGTGTGCACAAAACATTGTATTGATTATACAAACATATCAATAATAAACATATCAATCCCTCAAATGTTCAAACTGTTTGCCTCTGTCTTTAGCTGTCAAACATTATTATTTATTATAAAGTAAAACTTATAATAAATGTATAATGAAAATTATGAAAATAAAAATATTAAATATCATTTTAATGAATTAATACTAGAACTACTAATATTATAGCTAATGTATGTCTACATTTTCAAACCCCACCTCTCTCTCTCTCTATATATATATATATATATATATATATATATATATATATATATATATATATATATATATTTTATATATTTTATCTGTTTTTACAGATAAGGTTTACCATGTCTGGGAAATGACTATATGTAAAATAAAATTGAAAGTGTAGAGCTAGTTAAAGTCAGTTGTTTCTCTATCACTCCATTTATACACTTATAAAAAATGTATAACTAGAATGACAGAAAGCAATTGACCTTTTCCCTGCCTGAGGAAGCCTTCATTAGTAGAAACCATGGTAGCAGAAAAGGTTAATATTTGTAATCTTTTAGATTGCTGATATAAATAT